GCTTGCGATTTGCGCAACTGTCGCCATTTTTGTGGGCCCCATGGGCCGGCCCAGCGAAGGTGGGTCCCACGCGGACCACCTCGGGACCTCGCGGCGCCTTGGGGGCTGCGATCTGTACAACTGTCGCCACTTTCGTGGCCTCCTGAGAGGCCCAGCGGAGGTGGGTCCCACGCGGATCACCTCGGGACTTCGCCGCGCTCTGGGGGCTACGATCTGTGAAAGTGTCGCCACTTTCGTGGGCTCCTCGGAGGCCGGAAGTGGGTCCCACGCGGATCACCTCGGAACGTCGCCGCCCCCTGGCGGGCTTGCGATCTGCGCAACTGCCGCCAGTGTCGTGGGCTCCTTTGAGGCCCAGCAGCGGTGCGTCCCACTCGGATCACCTCGAGACCTCGCGGCGCCCTGGGGGCTGCGATCTGTGCAGCTGTCGCCATTTTCGCGGGCTCCTAGGGGGCCCGGCGGAGGTGGGTTTCACGCGGATCACCTCGGGACCTCGCAATGCCCTGGGGGCTGCGATATGCGCAACTGTCGCCACTTTCGTGGGCTCCTGGGAGGCCCAACGGAGTGGGTCCCACGCGGATCACCTCGGGACCTCGCTGTGCCCTGGGGGCTGCGATCTGCGCCACTGTCGCCACTTTCGTGGGCTCCAGGCCATGCGGAGTTGGGTCCCGCGCAGATCACCTCGGGACCTCGCGGTGCCCTGGGGGCTGCGATCTGCGCAACGGTCGCCACTTTCGTAGAGCTCCTGGGAGGCCCAGCGGAGGTTCGCCCCGCGCGGATCACCTCGGGACCTCGCGGTGCCCTGGGGGCTTGCGTAAATGTCGCAGCTTTCGTAGGCTCCTGGGAGGCCCAGCGGAGATGGGTCCCACGCAGATCACCTCGGGAACTGTCGCCACTTTCGCGGGCTCCTGGGAGGCCATGCAGCGGTGCGTCCCACGCGGACCACCTCGAGACCTCGCGGTGCCCTTGGGGCTGCGCTCTGCGCAACTGTCGCCACTTTCGTGGGCCCCTGGGAGGCCCAGCGGAGGTTCGTCCCACGCGGAACAATTCGAGACCTCGCGGTGTCCTGGGGGCTTGGATCTCCGCAACCGTCGCCACTTTCGTGGGCTCCTGGGGGTCCCAGCGGAGGTGGGTCCCACGCAGACCACCTCGGGACCTCGCTGTGCCCTGCGGGCTGCGATATGCGCAACTGTCGCCACTTTCGCTGGCTCCTTGGAGGCCCAGCGGAGGTGGCTCACACGCGGATCACCTCGGGACTTCGCTGCCTTCTGGGGGGCTTGCGATTTGCGCAACTGTCGCCATTTTTGCGGGCCCCTGGGAGGCCCAGCGGAGGTGGGCCCCACGCGGACCACCTCGGGACCTCGCGGTGCCCTGGGGGCATCGATCTGCGCAACTGTTGCCGCTGTCGTGGGCTCCTGGGAGGCCATGCAGCGGTGCGTCCCACGCGAATCGCTTCGGGATCTCGCGGTGCCTTGGGGGGCTTGCGATCTGCGCAACTGTCGCCACTTTCGCGGGCTCCTGGGAGGCCCAGCGGAGGTGGGTTCCACGCGGAACACCCCGGGACCTCGCCGCCCCCTGGGGGGCTTGCGATCGGCACAACTGTCGCCACTTTCGTGGGCTCCTGGGAGGCCCAGCGGAGGTGGGATCACCTCGGGACCTCGCGGTGCGCTGGGGGGCTTGCGATCTGCGCCACTGTCGCCACTTTCGTTGGCTCCTGGGAGGCCCAGCGGATGTGCGTCCCGCGCGGATCACCTCGGGACCTCGCCGCCCCCTGGGGAGCTTGCGATCTGCGCGTCGCCACTTTCGCGGGTTCCTGGGAGGCCCAGCGGAGGTGGGCCCCGCGCGAACCACCTCGGGACCTCGCCGCCCTTAGGGGGCTTGCGATTTTCGCAACTGTTGCCGCTTTCGTTGGCTCCTGGGAGGCCCGGCGGAGGTGGGTCCCACGCGGATCACCTCGGGACCTCGCGGTGCCCTGGGGGGCTTACAATCTGCGCAACTGTCGACACTTTCGTGAGCTCCTGGGGGGCCCAGCGGAGGTACGACCCACGTGGATCATTCGGAGGTTCGTCTTACGCGTGTCTTTCAACGCCCCGGCGCTTCCATTTTGTAGAGTCGCCGTTCCTCTTCGTGCTGCGCTCTTCTGAAATCACTGTTGGGTACTCTTCTTGCGCGCTGCGGGTCCTTCAGAATGCCAGGCAGCATTGAGCGGTCCTGAATATAATCGCCACATGTATAGAAAGGGTCGGGTACGTCACAGGGTGATTCGTGCAACTTCCACGTCTGTCCCGTGTCTGCGTGGCACATGGTGTATCTGCGCCAGCTCCTCCTGGATTTCCCCATCTCACCTGCGTGTCTGTCTCTACCATGCCCACTCTTAACTTCAACCTTTCTGCCAGTAGGGAGTGCCGCAGCAACTGGGGGGCAGCTACCCCGTGTCCTCATGCTTCTTCTGAATTGGGAATGCCTCTTTCATGGAATTGCTGCCGGCTTCGCCCCGTGTCTTCCGCATCTGGTCCGCTGCGAGGCGCCCCATGAAGCTCTTTCCATTCTTCCTCTGCCGTTCGCTCTCCAGGGGTTGCGCTCCGAGATAACCTCGCTAATGCTTCTCTTGGGAGCTCGGCAGGCTCCTCCTGAATCGCATTCTGAGTTGACCTCGCGAATGCATCTCCTAGGAGTTCGGATGAATCCGCCTGGGTCGCACTCCGAGATAACCTCGCCAATGCTTCTCCTGGCTGTTGTGGCAGAGTGGCCTGCAGGCGGCGGTCGAACGCGCCAAAGAATTCCGCTCCCAGGCGCCCCTTCCTCAGGCACTCCATCGGCATGTTGCGGTTCACTTCCTTGTCTGCTCTTTGACGTTTGTGCTTGCGCAAGAAATGAAATTGATGTTACAGTCCAGTAGCCATACCCAAAAGGATGTGGTCTCTGTGCCCTCTCGCTTTGATCTTCTGCATTAGTTGCCACTCCTCTCAGTGCAGCGCACCTCCGCACCTGTGGTAAAGCCCCCGTCGGTGTCGCTAGTTATGTAGTCGATCTTGTTCGTCCTCATCTTCTCGTCTTTTACGCAGTAGCAAGTTGGCCCACAATCGAGGAAAGTCGTAACTACTGAGAATACGCTGTGGACGCAAAGCTCCCTGAAAGCGGTGCCGTCGTCGTTCTCCACCACCTTGGCTACTGGTCCCAATGCTGCTGCATGTTTGCCCGAGCTGTGTCTGCTTACCACCAGATTCCTGCTGTCTGACCTGTGCATTCCCAACTGGCGGTTGGTGCCCCCTCCAACTATGATAATAGATCTGCCACCGGTGTCGCCACACTTTTCTTTCACCCGCTTCATTGTTTAATCAAACCATTGTGTGCGCACTGTCCTTCTGGCGGCAGGTACGTCGCAAAGATTGTGACGTCGTGAGCTCTCGTGCGCAGCCTAACCTTTGCAGCTCATCCTTGCAATTGTGCAGGTGGTGTGTGCTGCGTGTGGAATGCTTCGTTTTTCATAATCTCGTCGGGCACCAGGAGCGTAGTGCCGCGTGACTTGTCGATCCATTGTCCCTTCTTTGCCCCGAACTGCACTGCCACATGATATCTATGATTCGTCTTCCTCATCTGCTGTGGGCCTGGGCATTGATGCGTCCCTGCCAGCACAATCGCATCCCACTCTCGTAGTGCATTGCTAAGTTCTTCCAGTGTGTCCGTGGTATTCGCTGCCAGCGGATTGTAGTATACCAGTTTCATCAATGTTCAGATCGAGAACACTGCAACCGCGATCTATCTGCCATGCCCCCCTGGTTCCCTCTTTGGCCCGTGCGAGTGCGGGGCGGTAGTCGTGTGACAGAGTTTCAGTAAAATCCTCTCTCCGTCGGCTCTCAAAGTGCCCGAGCCTCCAACGCCGACTAGGAGGAGGAGGAGGGGGAGGAGGAGGAGGAGGAGGAGGAGGAGGAAAAGGAGGAAGAGGAGGAGGAGGAGGAGGAGGAGGAGGAGGAGGAGGAGGAGGAGGAGGAGGAGGAGGAGGAGGGAGGAGGAGGGCGAGGAGGACGGACGTGGCGGAGGACGTTGGTGGAGCAGGGCTGCAAGAGAAAAGACCAAGGAGGGCCCGCCGCTCAGCTTCCTGGCAGGGCTTCTGTAATATTTGAGCCCCCCCTCCCCCTCTCGCCACGTTCTTTTGCGCGCGCCGCCCCTCGTGCTCCCGCTTGAAGCATTGATGGCCCGCGCTCCCGAGGCCCCTAACCCATCGTAGAGAGAACGAGTCAGCGCTTTCGTGGCCACGATCCCTAGCGACAAGAACAACGGGTCCGCGCTCGCGGCGCTGCGATCCCTCGTGCACCATGTGGGGTCCGCGCTCCCGAGACCATAATCCTTAAACAAGAACGATGGATCTGCGCCTCCGGGCTCCCAGCATGTCCGAAGCAAATGACCAAGTTGGCCAATCTTACGGCCCCAAGATGGGGCCAGAAGAAATGCAAATCTGCGATGGTCCATTCGTTGTTTTACAAGTCCTTCTCGGGCTCGCTTCAGCTCCAGAGCGTCCCAGTGGCCTTCAATGTGGCCCAAGAGGGCCCACAACTTAGTCCTTCATCCTCTAAGAATGGCCCAAGACAGAGGGGCCCAAGATAGCCAAATAGTGCCTCTAGGCCCCAAGAGAGCACCAAGCTGGCACAAGAGGACCTCCAGAGGGACCCAGGATAGCCTTGGAGAGCCTATCGGCGGCCCAAGGCGGCCCAAGAGAAACCCAAAATCGAGGGCGGCCGAATCTGGCCCAACGTGGTCCTAGGGACCCCCACGACTGGCCCACAAGAGCTTAAAACAGGGCGGAGGAAAAGGAGGAACACGCTGAAGACGAGAAGAGAACCCACGACACGCTGCAGAAGAAACTGTCACACTACGTATACGGCTCTCTCACGCCTTGGGACACGAGGCGTCAAACGTCTCCCGTGCGCCCCCCGACCAGTCGCCACCCAAGGTACGGTGCTGGCACGGTGGGGGGACTTGCCGCAGGCAGCTGGATAATATACGGTGGCCTCGGACATCAGGCTGCATATAGTTCGCAACGTACCATGCTGAAGCGACGACCTGAGTTGCGTCATGACCAGAAGCTGATACGATCCCCTTCGCTCTAGTCGCCTGCTGTTGGAAGAGGCTGCGGTACTGCCCAATAAGACCTCCGAGTGAACTCTTCACTCGTTGATCCAATCGTGCTCGCTCCGATGGTGAGCTGGAGATTAGCTCGTACGCTCCTGTAAATATCTCAGCTTCCCATTTCAAGCCGCAGTTGTGGATAATCTTCAGAAGCTGAGTGCAATATGTCTGGTGATGGCTCCTTGCATCTAGCAATATGTCCTCCGGGACATCGAGCACGAAACGTTCATCCACGGATATATCCTGGTCTGTAACGGCAGGAACCTTGGGACATTGATCATGCAGGCGTTGGATAAGTGTATCCACATGGCTGGTGTCCTTGCTCTCGTCTTCTTTCTCCATCCAAGCGGGGTAAGTGGGGGGCGCGAGCTCCCTGGGCATTTCGACTGTCGTTCCTGTCTTTGGGGCGTCCACGGCATCAGAGTGCATTTTTGCGAGGAGCAAGCATTCATCACTGTAGGCCCCACGGGAATCTGCATGCACCATGTGCGCATTGGCAATGATCCCGAGCGACGTGCCTGTGCTAGACTTCACGAAATCCGCCGCCGTGCCCGCAGGGCACGAGGCGAAACGCCTTCCTTTTAGCAATCATCCCCCTCTCACAACCCTATACCGTATCTCTACTGCAGTGAGCGCTTTCCGAACGGAGCAGGATCCATAATACAGGCATCCGCGATGAGCCAATTTTGCCCAAGCTTGTCCCCAGGACCGCCCAAAATGGCACAATCATGCGCGCCGCTGGATCCCCCAGGAGTGGGGGGCGTCGAGGACCGCCGCCGGCTCTTTTCCCTGCTCCGTCGTCCCAGGAATCCCCCCCCCACCTTTCCGGATCCGTCGTCGCGGAACCCCCCCCTCCACAAACGGGGGGGGGGGGCTGAACCCCCCTCTCATTTGGACAGAAACACATCCGCCCCCCCTTCCCCCCCCCCTTTGGCCACGCCGCCCCCTGGCTCTGGGACCCAGCCCCGCCGCCCTGCCAACCCGCGGAAGCCTACCCCTACCACCCTGCCAGCCCGACCCTGACACCCCGACCGTAGCACCCTCACCCGAACCCTCGACGCCTAATCCTACCCCCATGACCCGAAGTGCCAACCCTAACATCCTACTCTGCCATGTAACATCCCAGCACCCAAACGCCCGAACACCCCAAGTCGTTTATCATATATCTACGCAGCCCTTCTACACAGCCGCGGCCAATCTCCGACCAGGTCCAAACCGACCCGGGGCCGCAATCCCTTTTCGCGATCCGCTGCAAACAAAAACCGCGGCGCACATCGTCTGATCGCAAGATCGTCTCATCTTGAGCCGAGACTATGCTTAAGTCGGGCCTGTACTCCTACAGGGGGATTACGGACGAAAATAAAAATACCCAAAACATACTAAAAATATTCCCAAAAATACTCAAACAATAGTCCCCAGACTATTTTTGACTATTTTTGAATATTCCCCATGTAGAGGGACAGGCCCGACTTAAGACTATACTCAGGATGGTATGGCGTGGACACTGCCTGATCTTCGCACCTGCCCAAGCGATACGACCTTTTCCAGCACATACAATCCGGCGCACATCTGCCGATGCCAATGCTCACCATCCCCTGCAACAGGATACAAGGCGGTGCGTATCAGCGGACGCCAATATTTACCATCCGCAGCGAAAAAAATACCCTGGCGACGTACCCAACCCCTGCGCAATGCGGGGCAGGAGTAGCTTGGGAGATTTGACGAGAAGGCGGCGACGTGACATGGACGCATATACTTCTGCGAGCGGCATTCGGAAGGTTCGCAGGTCCCCAATCAAAGGAAAAACGATGAGCAGCTAAGTGAACCCCTGCGTCACTAAGGAAGACGCAAGGTCCAAAAGGAGACTGTGAGCAAGGGGCTTGAAACGTCGGCGGGGCAGCGGGCAGCAACATCATGATATTCCCCCCCCCCAGGGACGGCGTGGTCCCGCTCAGGTCCGCGCAGTGCCTCACTCCGCTGGACCCACTAGCAGCCCTCGAAAGTGGCGAGTCCACCAGCAGCCCTCGAAAGTGGCGACAGTTTCGCAGATCGCAGCCCCCCCAAAACGGCGAGGTCTCGTTCAAGTCTGCGCGGTGCCTCACTCCGCTGGACCCCGAATGTGGCGACCGTTTCGCAGATCGCAGCCCCCCAACAACGGCGAGGTCTCGCTCAGGTCTGCGCGGTGCCTCACTCCGCTGGACCCACCAGCAGACCTCGAACGTGGCGACAATTTCGCAGATCGTACCCCCCCAAAGACGGCGAGGTCTCGTTCAGGTCTGCGCGGTGCCTCACCCGGCTGGACCCACCAGCAGCCCTCGAAACTGGCGGCCGTTTCGCAGATCGCAGCCCGCCAAAAACGGCGAGGTCTCGCTCAGGTCTGCGCGGTGCCTCACCCCGCTGGACCCACCAGCAGCCATCGAAAATGGCGACAGTTTCCCAGATCGCACCCCCCCAGGGACGGCGAGGTCTCGCTCAGGTCTGCGCGGTGCCTCACTCCGCTGGACCCACCAGCAACCCTTGAAAATGGCGACACTTTAGCAAATCGCAGCTCCCCAAAACGGCGAGGTCTCGCTCAGGTCTGCGCGGTGCCTCACTCCGCTGGACCCACCAGCAGCCCTCGAAAGTGGCGACAGTTTCGCAGATCGCAGCCCCCCCAAAACGGCGAGGTCTCGTTCAAGTCTGCGCGGTGCCTCACTCCGCTGGACCCACCAGCAGCCCTCGAATGTGGCGACGATTTCGCAGATCGCAGCCCCCCCAGGGATGGCGAGGTCTCGTTCAACTCTGCGCGGTGCCTCACTCCGCTGGACCCACCAGCAACCCTCGAAAGTTGCGACGGCTTCGCATATCGCAGCCCCAAAGGACGACGATGTCTCGCTCAGGTCTGCGCGGTGCCTCACTCCGCTGGACCCACCAGAGGCCCTCGAACGTGGCGACAATATCGCAGATCGCAACTCCCCAACGACGGCGAGGTCTCGTTCAGGTCTGCGCGGTGCCTCGCTCCGCTGGACCCACCAGCAGCCAACGAACATGGCGACACTTTAGCAAATCGCAGCTCCCCAAAACGGCGAGGTCTCGCTCAGGTCTGCGCGGTGCCTCACCCCGCTGGACCCACCAACAGCCCTCGAACGTGGCGACAATTTCGCAGATCACAGCCCCCCAAAAACGGCGAGGTCTCGTTCAGATCTGCGCGGTGCCTCGCTCCGCTGGACCCACCAGCAGCCATCCGAAAATGGCAACGATTTCGCAGATCGCAGCCCCCCAGAGACGGCGAGGTCTCGTTCAGGTTTGCGCGGTGCCTCACCCCGCTGGACCCACCAGCAGCCCTCGAAACAGGCCGCAGTTTCGCAGATCGCAGCCCCCCAGGCAGGGCAGAAGGAGACAAGAAGGAGGGGGGGCGGGAGGCGGGAGGCAGGAGGCGGGAGGACGAGGAGGAGGAGGAAGACGCGACCGCGGTGCTCTACTCAAACGAATACCCAACCAAGGAGGCTAGGAAAAAAACATATGCACATCTGAGGATCTTCAGAATAATCAAACCCTGGGGATCCTTTGCAACGTATGCCAAGTGGTGGACGTCGACTGACCTGCACAACGGCCAAGCACTCACCATCCTCTAAAAGTACCATACGGTGAACATCTCGGCCTGCGCGATCCGTGCAGCAGGTACCATTCTGTGGACACCGGCTGGTCTGCACAGCGTGATCCCTGATCTCCCAGACGTCCCCAAGCGCTCCCAAACGCCCCCATCGCCTCCCAAATCGTTTCCAAACTCGCCGTCGCCACCAGCAACAGCATCCACATCAACATTTTTACACTTTCACCGTCCTCGTCGCCGCAGAAGGCGTCAAGGAGCAGATTAATGAGATCGCGTTGGCGCGTTCATTTTGTTGAGAAGGTCAACGCTATAAAAAGGATAGAAACAAAACTCAAGCACGCCCCAAAATCGCCACGAGACGGCCCAAATAGTTCCGGAATGTGCAGAAGATGCAACACCGCGCGAACGCGATGAGAAGATAGGTCGGTCTCTTGGGAAGGGTTTGGGGCGGGGGGCGATCAAGACATGGGATGAAGTGGCCCTAATATGCTAACCCTGACACCCTGACCGTGACAACGAAACCCTCACACCCGATCGCTAGCACCCGAACCTTAACACCCAAAACTTGATACCCCAACCCCATTACATTACCTTCGGAGCTACCGCTCTAACCCAAACTTGACACCCCAACCTTAACACCACGACTTTAACATCCAAGCCCTAATGCCTTAAACTTAACATCCTATCGCTAATGCCCTGACTTAGCCAACGCATTACCCCTGGCACCGTAACCCTACCGCCTTGACCCGAACCCTGAGACCTTAACTTTATAATCCGATGATTACATCGCATTTTCGCCGCCGTCCAACTGGTCCCCGTCTGGCTCTGGGCCGAACCCCCCCCGCGATACCCTGCAACAAATGGACGCGGCGCATTCCAGCTGACCGCACGATCGTTTCATCTGAACCTCTCTGAGCCCCTGACCCTCGCCATCCACTGCAACATAAACAAGTCGGTGCACACTCGCAGATCTCCACACCCGTCCATCCCTCACTGTCCGTTGTGAAGCATACAAGTGGGTGCACACCTGCAGCTTCGCATACCCATCCAACCGTCACGATCCCCTGCGAAACAACAGAGTTTGGCGGACGTCGGCCGATCTTGGCAGCGACGAGGCGCTCACCATCCTATACATCGTACCAATAGGTGCACATCTGCAGAACTCTTTTGCCTGGATATTCGCTATCTCTGCAATATGTCCCGATGGTGTCCCATAGTTAATGGGTTTCACAAAAGACATGGGCAAGAGAGGATAATGCCGTTAAGCATGCAACCGATGCAACCCTGAAGGGAGGAGGCCGGCCCGCCGGCCGATACGCGAGGCCGCGCGCGGGCGCGCTCCTTTTCTGTCGCACCTGACCCAAACAGCTTCAGGTAATATCCAAGTCAAGAAGAGAAGCGGACAGTGCAGGCAAAGCAAATGTGGGTGAGAAGGGCAGGAACCAGGTGGTGCGAAGGGGTGCATTGACTGCAGATCTCTACACCCATCCAATTCTTAGATCCCCGGCAGAAAACCCGTGTGGTGGACATCGGATGATCTTCATAGCGCGCTCCCAAGTCTCCCAGACGTCCCCTGGCGCTCCTAAGCGCTCCAATCGATCCCCAGCGCCCCTAGCCCGCCGTCGCCACCAGCAGCAGCGTACACGTTGTTATCTTCTCCGTCCTCGTCACCGCAGGAGGCGCCAAGGAACAGATGACTCATGTCGCGCTGACGCTTTCAGATTCTTGAGGAAGTCGATCTTATGGGAAGGGATCGAAGCAAAACCCAGGCACGTCCTTAAATCGCCCCGTGATGGCCCAGCCATGCTCCGAAGGTGCAGAGGATGCAAGACCGCGTTGGCGCGATAAGAAGATAGGTCGATATCATGGGAAGGGCTCCGGGCGGGGGAAGATTAATCCGGGCAGAAACTAGGCGACTTTAACGCCCTAGCCTTAACGAGGGGGGAGATTGATCCGCGCAAGTTCTTGTGACCCTAACCCCCTAATCCTAAAACTCTAACCCTGATCCCTAACCTGCCAAATGAGGAGGGGGGGAGTCGAAACCGCTCCTCCCTCTCCGTCGCAGAGGGGAGGGAGCAGCGGAAGGGGGGCAATCGACCACCCCACCCTTTGGAAAAGGAGCTGGGGGGGTCGGGGGGTCCGAAAACGGACCTCCCGTGAAGGGGGGGGGGGTGGAGTGAGAGCACCCCCCCCCGTTTTCAACCAGAGGGGGACTCACTGGCGCTCTGTCCAGCTTGGTTCCATGTTGTCTCCAGGACGACGCCACGGATGCCCTTTTCAGAGGCCCCCGACAGGCCCAGGTCAATGAAGCAACACGCTGCGTGCTTTCCCGATCTCGCGCGGCTCGCCTGCTCGGCCCCTGCTGCGCCTCAGATGCCTCCAGGTGGCTCAAAGGTTATCCTGGAGGACCCCGCCGTCAACATGAGATGGTCCCTCGGCTTCCGCGAGCCTCACGGAGACTCCCCCAAAAGGGGCCAACAGGTGGTCCACGGTCCACGCAAGGACACCAGGAACACAACTCAGGAACCCACCCACCTCTCTCCCCGACTGCCACCCCGAGAAGCGCCTGAGAGGTCCTTTGAAGATCCCCTGAGCGGCCTCCAATGACACCCACATGAACCACGCAACGACCATGCAACGCTACGGCCACGCTGCGCTATCATTGCAGCGCTGCTTCCCCACGCGTGGCGCAGTGCTCCCAATCGTGCTCCTGGCTGATCGGTGTGGCATGCCGGACACCCAGGATGACAGATGGAAACGCCGAGCCCGCTCCTCCCCGCTCCGTCTCTTCCCTCATACCATCGTCTTTATTGTTCTGGGCATTCTGGGCATTCTGGAAAGGTCTAGAGTTACACGGTGTGCAAAACTAAACAAAAAACAAAAACAAACAAACTCAGGTGCACCACCCCCCATCCTCGCATCCTCGGCCTGGTAGTCCCGCTGGAGCTCATTGGCCAGGTCGAACTTTCTTGTTCTCTTTGTGTACGTCGCCCACCTCCTCCTCCTCCTCCTCCGCCTCTTCTTCCCTTTACCCCTCCTCCTCCTACTCCTTCTCCAACAATGCCGATGGATGGATAGGTGTATGGACGGAGGGATGGTGGAATAGGGGGGGTGAGATATTACCCACATCCGAGGCACGGTGGCAGGATGAGCCGAAAGCTCGATCCTCCGCCCGCTGTGCTTGCCAGAGGGGTGCACGGCGTGCCAGACGTTGGGTAGGCTTTGGTCCTTTTCGAAGGTTTCCAAAGGCCCTCAGCCTAATGCACTGGCCACCCGAAAGATCCGCAAACTTCCCGGACCCATCAACTTCGCAGGTCGTCGGACTTCCCGCTCCAGACGGCCCAAACAAAGGCCTCCAAATCGCCCCGTCAGGACCCGTAGCCTTTCCAAATCATCGGTCTTCACGCTCCAAGACGACCAAGATGGCTGAATATGTCCTCAAAGATACCTCCAAGACGTCCAAGACGTCCCCAAGAGCCCAAAATGGCCGCACGATGTCTACAAAACGGCCCAATTTGTACCCAAGATGGCCCCAGACGAGCCTCCAGGAAAACCCGAAGGGATCTCTTCTCCTCTGTTTCTTTCTTCCCAACGTCTTCCCCGAAACCTCTCCACGACGGCTGGGGGAACACATGATCCGATAGCTGGGCCGAGCTCTGGCCACAACGTTCAGCCACACATGCGCTTACAAAAGGCAGGGGGTGGCAGTGATGCGGTGATTCGCCGTAGGCGTCTTCGATACTCCTTCATCACTTCGGCTGTCACTTCTTCCAGATCCTGGGATGTTTTTGTTGTCGACCCTTCTGAATAATCCATGGCCTCGGCCGTTCTCTTCGGTACTAACTCTGGACACCATGTACAAAAATACAGATCGCCATCCAAGTCAGAGCCAGAAGATTCATCAGGATGTGGCCGATGTCCTTGTACTGGGAACACGACACAATCAACTACATGCTGCAAGGCTGAGCAATCGACTGCATCGAGCAACAAGACATCACCTGGATGGAGGCATGGGTTCTTGGTAACCATTACTCTGCAATCTTTGATAATGCGATTGCGAACGCCTCCGCTTGGATCTGGTTCCGAAATCTGTATGAAGACCTCACCGTACCGGAGGGTGCTACTCTCATCTGGCACCCCGAGAAGGAGCGAGGCGTCCGCGACCGGTATGCTGGTCTTCTGCCGGAGCTTTCGCACGTCCTGGCGGTACACGAACCGAAGCAGCGATGCGAAGAACGGCTCTGCGGTGAAGTCCACGCCAGCTGCGTCCAGCAGCGACACCGAGCCGGGGCCAGCGTATATGTGGCTCAGCCTCCGCGATGCACACCTTGGGTCCACCACAACCTTCGAAGCCTCCAACAAGGCGGATTCCTGCATCCCCAAGAACACCTCGGGCTCGATGCCACGTGCTGCCAACAAATTGATGATCTGCCTGTTGAGGAAAGCAGGGTTGTTTCGGGACCAACTGACGACCTCAAATGAGTCATGCCTCGAATCAAATTTTATCATGCTCTTCCTCAGTTCCAACTTTCGATTGCAGCCCGGGTAACCGACTACTACGCCCTTTGCGCCGCCGTACCGTATCTGGAAAGCCGAGGGTACCACATTGCACCCTAAGCGGCTGGACACATCTTGAGCAATGTCTGCCCTAATCTTTCCTGCGCCATCGGTGAAGCAATACTCCTTCCCGTTGTGGTGTGATTTCTTATCGTCAATCACCTCAACGTCATCCCAACTGACACTGACAGTTGGCGCCGAGGAGCTGAAAAATAGGGCAAGCCTGGAAGCGTACTTGCTGGGATTGCGGGGTGCAGCTTGCGGATCAAGAAAAGGCCAACGGCGTATCGTTTCGCACTCGACGCTGCCATCCGAAGCGTACAGCCACAAACTTCCGCTTCGCATCTGACTTTGCGACCAATGCAAATACTTGAAATGCCTGTCGTTGATGCGAATACCATGGTCAAATATCATGCCGATCCGCGGTGCCATCGTGTCACCGACCATCGGGCTGCCATCTTCGTCACAGAACTGGACGCGGAGAAACCGACTCGCCGTATGCTGCCCCGGCTCACCAAACTTCTGCAGGATGCGGCACGACTGGATCCACTCGGGCTCACGAAAGTTCAGGCGGGCCGGCGTTACCACCACGCAACGGGCCAGCACGTGGCCTCTGGGAACCTGGGCCAGCCTCGCCTCTCCGCTCCCCCTGCGCTCCTCCGCGGCAGCGACGCTGCGCGACAGCAGGGCTCCAGCGTCCACGAACAGCCTTCGGGTAGGGCAAGGACTACAAACCTGCTGTACCCCAAAAACTGGCACTTTCGTCGAATCTGCAAAAAGTGCGTGCAGATATTACCCCCTGCAGATCTACGGAACCTTCTACGCGTCCTTCGACGACAAATCCCCTGTTGGGCTGTTGGGCACATCGATTTTGCAGTCGATCCCCTACTCGGGGCCTGGAGTCCAGCTGGGACGGCAGCTCCGCCACCGCCGCGGCGGCGTCCTCGGGGTGCGCTGCCCCCAGCCGCGCCAGGAGATCGTGGGACAGTGCGGCGCAGACCAGCGCGGGCTCCGCGCTGGCGGCGCACAGCAGCGCGTAGAGCACCTCGAAGTCGAGCCGCATCCGCACCCGCGGCCCCCCGAGGCTGCGCACGAGGCGCACCAGCACGGTACTCCAGCGGCTGTCATACCCAGGCATGCTGTCACAGAGTCCGAGCTGGAAGTCATCGGTCACTTCTTCGGTCCACGCGAGGTCGCTTCGGTCCCAACCGCTGCCCCACTCTGGAACCTGAAGGCTGTGGGGCAGGTTGACAACCTTCGCGTGGCACAAGTGCGTGCCGACATGGCTGAGGAAATCCAAGAAGGGCTGGCATTGCTCCCAAGACCCGAAGTGGAACGCGTAGACGAAACTGCGGCCAAAAAGCGCTGACGGCATGCAGCATCGGCGCTCCTTTGGTTGCTTGCTTCGCCCGTCCTTCGCTGCCTCGCCGATTGAGAACTTGGGTGGCTGATTCACGAATGCATAGACAGTCACGCCGCTGCTGCCAAGCGAGTCACCACTCACGAGGGCAGAGTCCAGCAAGTCAGACACCCCGATGGCCACTTTCAAGGTCTCGGAAGGCGCATCCTCCAGATCACGTCCGCTGGACTGAGCACTCGGAACTCTGAAGATCAAGCATTTCGGACCCATCTGCACCCTGGCGTCGCGGAACCTGGCCTGCGGACAGAACGCAGCCTCGCGCCCGCTCGACCCAAACGCGAAGATGCCGCCCGCCTCCACCTTCGCCTGCAAAGACTCGCGCTCCCATCTGCTGACGGTACGCGTCACCTCGCGGAGCCAAACGCCGGGGGGCGCTCTGCGGCAGAGGCTGCTGAGCAGAGCTTGCCGGTGCATCTTGCCACTGTGCTCCATTTGCAGCGTAACGTAGGCGCTGTACCCCGCAGGGCGCAGGCGGTCTGGAAACAAGTAGTGGGGCCCCTCGGGCACGCAGTCCTTGACCCTGCCGATGGGGGCGAATGCGATGAGAGCGCCGTCGACCCCAGCAACGGGCAAGCCGTGAGCCACGATACACAAATCACCGACGTCGGATGCGCCTGGGTCCAGGCCGTCCGCTGGGCTCTTCGCGGCTGTCGCGTGAACGTCGTGCTCTCCACCGAGCAGCTGTCGAGTGCACAACTCGACCTGCTCACGCTGCGGGTCTCCAGCCTCTCTCATGCGGTCTTGCCTCATCACCCCCCCCAGATCCGAGCTGATCCATGGCCTGATCCCCGTCCCGATCCAGCGGACCCGATCGATCCCAAAACCTCGGTGCACCCTCCCCGACGGCCCGATCGGCCGACCCGCTCCCGAGCGATGATCGATGGAGCGCATCGGCAAGACCAGCGGCCCGATCAAGCTCTGATCGGTGGAGCATGGCCTGCTGAGGGTCTCGCGCTACCCTCTGCAGGCTCTCCTCGGCCTTCTGTAACTCGTCGAAGCTGCGACGCTCCGCCGGCGTCCCCACTACTGCATACGTGCTGCCGCGGGCGCGCGCCCTCCCGCGTGACTGCACGTATGCTGCAAACGAGCGCACCCCGTGCAAGCGAATGGCGATGCTGCACTCGGCAATGTCGAGGCCCTCCTCCGCCACCGACGTCGCGACCAGGAGCCTGACCTCGCCACTCCGGAAGCGCTGCAGGGCCGAGGACTGCGCGGCATCCCCCGTGCCCTCGCCACGGCCCACCAGGCAGCACGGCCGCAGGTCCAGGGGCTGCAGCAGCTTGCGCAGGACGTCGGCCACCACGCCGGCAAGCGCCCTCGTCGAGACGAAGACGACGCCTCGGAAGCTCTCCTGCCGGCTCTGCGCTTCCCTGCGGAGCAGGCTGACCACCTTGGAGAGGTGGGGCGCGTCGCTCCCCCTCCAGGCGAGCAGCCCACGAAGGCCCGCCCGGGCGTCCTCGGCGTGGCTCGCCAGCCCGGCGGCGCCGACCCGCTCCAAGAAGGCCCGGCCGTGGGCGTCGCCCAGCCTGCTGCCGACCTCCGCCGCCTCCGCGACCCACGTCGCCAGCCTCGCCTTCTGCAGCAGCTGCGGGTGCCGCTGCTCCGCGAACCCGCGGACGAACTGCCACCCGGCGAGCTGGCTCGCCGCGCCGCCGAGGAGCCCCTCCACGCCCAGGGTCCTCTCTACGTCGCCCCGCAGGCAGTCCAGGACCCGCGAGGCGGCCTCCTGTTTGGACGTCCGACATGGATACAGAAAAAATATACAGAAAAAATAGGCACGATGCCCAACAACAAATGCTGTTCAAGACCGCGCCCGCGGCGGCACGGACAGCGGACCCGGTTCAAAACGGACCGGGGTTGCTGTCAATCTTCGTGCCGATTCTTTCCGTACCCATTTCGATCGTACCGATCCTGGAAGCCCCGCATCGAGGCGGATTCTTCCACCTCCACCCAGCAATGTTCCGGCGGGTCGACAACGTCCCGGAGGCTGTCGCGGAACACGCAGGGCGTCCGAAGGACGGCTGGCTGCGTCGTTCCAAGCTGCCTCTCCAGACGCTCGAGCGCTCGACTGGTCTCTCGCTCGTCTGTAGCGCCAGCCGGCGACGCCGTGAGCCCAAGCACGCGCGGGCGCGAGAGTGGCGCACACAGGCGGAGCTGCTCCATGACGCCAGCGAACGGGTGACCACCTGCGCAGTGGTGCGCCTCATCGAAGACCACGAGCGAAAACTGCGCTGGGTCAAGCGTCTTGTCCCTCTTGAGCATGTTGACGAACACCTGGGCTGTGATAACCAACACGTCGAACCGTGACTTCAACAGCCTTCTCCGCTCTGTGTCAGCTGTGGTGCCGCAGATGGAAATCACGCGCATCGGAGTGTTTTTGCTGAGGTACTCTGCCTGCTGCTGCATGAGGGGGATTTTGTCCACAACAAAAGCTACTCGCTTCCTCTTGTTGCAGGTGGCCATGGCAGAAACCACCAGGGCGCCCACCAGGGTCTTCCCGGAGCCAGTCGGTAAGTACACGAGCACGTCACGACTGCTCTGGAAGTCGAGCAATGCCCACACGTGCAGTTCGGCCTGGTAGTCTCTGGGCGCGGTGTGGCTGAGCGTCATCAGCGGCGCGAGGTATGGCGGTGCCACCGGCCCCTCCCCTCCTGCCTCATCTGGATCCACTTCGTCTCTGAGCAGGTTCATGCCTTCAAGGCGCGGTTGGGATTTCCACGGGGTGCGCTGGTGGGCTTCCCGCGGATGGGATCCCCAACAGCGCAACGAACTTGTCGGGACACCCCCGAAGGGGCAGCCCTGGTCCTCGAGCCAGAGCGGCCACGGGAAAGGAGGGGAAGCAGGAAGAGTGCAAGTGGGACAAAGTGGGGTGGATGGAAGAGGAGGATGAAGCGGAAGACATCCAGGGGACGTAAGCGAGGCGGGCAAGGGCGCCCCTGCGGAGAGAGGTCAATTGCTCTCACGGGTGAGCCGTGCAGGCAAAATGGTGGACCCCGTACACCCCGGACGTCGCGGCCGGATCTCGATGCGGAGGTTGCCAGAAGGAGGGAGGACTGCGGCGGCCATGGGGAGGACCAGGTGGAGGACCAGGGCCAAGGATCGGGGCGGAGGGGCAACAACGACATGGGCCGCAGCGGCATCCTGGGGCGGGGACAAGCTTTTCTCAGGCTTGGCCGGCGCTTCTGGCACATGTGGAAGCAAGCCATGCACACTCTCCGAAAGCAACTAAAACATACCTGATCAGAATGAGGGGGCCGAACGGTCATTCATTGTCCCTGGGTGCGTGGCTGAAGTGCGGATCCGTGGTGAGGATTCTGCTTGTTGCGACGTTGTTGTTGCTGTTGTTGTTTGTTGTTTGTTGTCGTCGTCCTCCCTGCGATCCGCCCGCGACCCACCCGCAGCGACCCACCCACCCCGCGACTCACCCCGCGACCCAACCCGCGACTCCCCCGCGACCCAGCCCGCGACCCAGCCCGCGACCCAGCCCGCGACCGACCCGTGACCCACCCGGTGACCCGCCCGCGACCCAGCCCGCGACCCAGCCCGCGACCCAGCCCGCGACCCAGCCCGCGACCCAGCCCGCGACCCACCCGCGACCCACCCGCGACCCACCCGCGACCCACCCCGCGACCCACCCTGCGACCCATACGCGACCCATACGTGACCCACCCGCGACCCGGCCCGCGACCCGGCCCGCGACCCACCCGCGATCCACCCGCGACCCACCCGCGACCCACCCCGCGATCCACCCACGTTGCTTCAACGAAAATATCGGCGCCTGCGGCGGGCTCACTGCATGATTTGTGAAAATTAAGCGCGTGCGGAGCGGCGGGCTTCTTCAGAGCCTCGCAGACTGACGACGTCCTCGCCGCCCCCTCACTCTTATCCGCAACTGCGGGGTGCTACGTACATATTACATTCCTGGCGTCGTCATTGAAGCATTCTCGCTCCATGACGCCAGACTGCGTGGACTTCTGACAAGCAACCGTGGCCAAACGGTCCGCGGAATCGTTCCCTTCCGCGTGTGGCCTGTCTGTACTGCCGAGAAGAAGGACGTCGATGTCCCGGTGGGCCCGAAACAAGGAACTATATGATGCGGCTGGCACGGGTATCGCGGCTAGTAGGCTCATACATGATGCACAAGACTAATGCTCCAACTCATCCCACGTTGGTGCTCTGGCAACGTCAATCCACACATTTCTCCAGGCGGCCATGCCCAAGAGCCGCACAGCATCAATGACTGACGAGGCGGCTGCCCGCGGTCTGCTGCCACGTGCCACGCGGCAGCGCGAACACACGGGCGTAATCCCTGGGCAGCTCGCCCCTCGGCCCGCAGCTGGCCTCACGCCAAGCGGCGAGCATCTCAGCTGCACGCAAGGGTTGTGGATGCCACGAATGTGGGAAAATGTTCTAAACATAGGTTGAACATGTTTTTAATGTTTAAAACATGTTAAACACATGTTTTAGACATCTGGGAAGTATTTGGCAACATGCTTCCTCTCCATTGGTCGTCCTCCACAACGCAAGGGTGACCCCAGGAATCAGTCACCTTTGGTGCGCGCCCTGACGTCGCCGCAGTGGGGACCTCATCCAAGCAGTCCAAGCGCGCCAGCCAGTGCTGGCGGGACCCCTTTGGGCCCGCACCAAAGGCCGCTCCGGCGTGGATAAGGAACCAAGGGTCTGGAAACATGAGGGACGCCAATTGAGTCGCGCCGCCCTCATCAGCCAAGGAATCCTCGAGGGTCTGAAACTCCATGGGCACATTTCTTGACAAACGCTGGAAGCGACAACTTGCCAATTGTTAGCGTGAGCCCTAAGGACATCGAGCTGGATTCAACCTTCTGGGCGGAAAAAGAGAATCGGCCCCACGTGGCTTCCAAACCCGGGTCAGCTAGAGGGGATTAGACACCCGTGAGCGCTGATCCCCGTTATGTGAGCCCCGAAATTACCCAACGCTCTTTTCTCCGGTCCTTGTAACACCTGGGGGCAGGGCCTTGCGCATCCTCCTCACCCTTCTCCAAGAACCCAGCTTCGGCGGGCCGCTGGATGCCAACACATCCCTGTTCTCTCTCTCGTCTTCAGTGCTTGGCCCTCTCTGGCCTAAGCTGGCACCCAACTGACCAACAATTCCAGCATGCCCCACTCTTTCTTACCAAGAGGTTCCCGAGAGGTTTCTCTAAATGGCAAGAGGCTCCGCAGAGCTGGTTACAGGGGCCCTATAGGTTGCCAGGAGGTACCCAAGAAGGCCCAGAAGGCCTCCAAGGGACTTTTCAATTTCGTGCGTGTATTTTTGTTCGTAAGGTGACCCACAATGCTCCTCAATGGTCCTCGCCGAGAAAAAATGCACACGTCCGAGCGATGCAAAGTCCAAGGCCTCAGGAGACATCCAATGAGCCCCGGAAGCTGACGGAAACGACCCAAACGCTGCCCAGGAGCCCACCCCTCCACAGAAACTCCCAAGACTGTGCAGGAGGCCCCTGGGACGGATAGCGAGGCCCCCAACAAGCTGGCGAGAGCCCCCAGAGCTTGGACCCTTGGAAAGCTCTCGACAAGGGCGTCGCACGACCTTCGTCATGCTTTGGCCCTTTCGCCTGCTCCTCCCGCTCTTCCTCCTCCTTTTTCTCCTCCTCCTCCTCCTCCTCCTCCTCCTCCTCGTTCTCCTCCTCCTCCTCTTCCTCCTCTCTTTCTCCTCCCCTCCCCCCTCCTCCTCCTCCTCCTCCTCCTCCTCCTCCTCCTCCTCCTCCTCCTCCTCCTCCTCCTCCTCCTTCTCCCCCCCCTCCCCCGAGAGGACGCCCTGAGAGCGGCGCGCCACCGTGCCGCAGGCACTGAGTGGATTGTCCTCAAGGCCTCAACGGCCCTCAATCTGGCATAGAGCAGGGCCCCAGGCCCCCAGCTGTCAGGTCTCGCGGGCGCAATCGTTTCTGCTCGCGTGGCTCCCGCGGCACCCGGGGGACACCTGCTTGATCCCCAGCGTGCAGGATGCCCCCAGATGGCCCCAGGGGCCCGCCCAGGGCCCGCCGGTCGCGACGCTTCCACGGCGCAGATCCGTGGAGGGCTCCCTTCCAGAGACCTCGGAGCCAAACAGGCTGCCACCTCTGGGGGCCGCATCTCCGTCTCCCGCCGGCTTCCGCCCGCGACTGCGGCCTCGCTCTGCCCCCGCCGGCCTCCTCCGCCGCCGCCGCCGCCCGCCGAGGAAGCGATGTCAACTCCCTCGACCCATCGAAATCCCGACTCTTTCCCCAGCACCGGCTTCTCCGAAGGGGCCCTGGGACACGCAAAGAGATTCACACAGACAATAGGATTCCCCACATGGTGTTCATATGTTCTGGGTTTTTGTCTTCCCCCCACTTCCCATATTTCCCCATATTTTCCTGGGAATCGACGATTCATTGTGTCTGTGTGTGGTTTTCCCCTCCTGACAAGGCCCCGTGGCCCGGCGAGGCCCCCCCCCGAGGCCGAGCGCGGCCAACGAGGGGGGCGCCCCAGGAGGGACGGGGGCAGATATCGTGGCCCGTGGCACGTGCCCCAGGGGGGGAATCGGTGGACGTACAGTCAAAACGTATATTAAGGACGGGTGGTAAGGACGCAGGACCCTTGGAGGCCGAAGTTGGATTTTTGGGGCAGTGAAAACGGCGAAGGACGGGCGGCAGAGGCAAGGACTCAAGGGTACCCTAGATGAAGGCACGCGTCCTTACTACGCGCGTTGACTGTACACGTCGGTCGGAAGAAGCAGGCAAGAACAGGAAGTAGGAAGGCGGATCCAGCAGATTGGCTCCATGCCCCCCCAGAGAACAACAGAACACAGCAAAGGCGTGTCGATTCTTGAAGAAGTAAGGCGCTTGAAGTAGATTGGGATCTGGGAATCCAAAACCACCTACTTTCAACGACCGGCGTGTACAGTCGACCTGTATCATCAGGATGCGCGGTCAAGATGCAAGGGCCGTGAACGCCCATGCCGAGGCTCTTCGGGCGGGGCTGGCCGTCGCGAGCAGTTGAGGATGGCCCGAAGATGACCGAAGCGGCAGGGGCACCCCTGGAGAAGTCGATCATTCTAACTATGCGGGTTGAATGCGTCGGAATAAGACAAGGGGGACATGAACACCGCGGAGATGTCTTGGCCCCGGCCATGATGTCCCCTCCCCAGGCTGGAGGAGAAGGAGGAGGAGGAGGAGGAGGAGGAGGAGGAGGAGGAGATGAAGAGGCCTCCCCCGGTGCTCTCCCTCTTGGCCTCCTCTTGGCCTCCCCCGATGCTCCGTCCAGCGGCAGCAGCCCGAGAGGCCCGGGAGGTCTCCGCCCCGCCCCGCGCGCCGCGGTCGCCACCGCGGGCGGCGGCGCCGGCGCCAGCGGGCGGGGCTGGCGGGCGGGCGCAGAGGCGCTCGTCGTCGTCGTCGTCGTCGTCGTCGTCGTCGTCGTCGTCGTCGTCGTCGTCGGCGGCGGCGTCCAAAATGACGTCGGCGAATGCACTGACGCCCTCCTCCTCCTCCTCCTCCCCTCCTCCTCCTACCTCCCTCCTACCTCCGCCTCCTACTCCTCCTCCGCCTCCTCATCATCCCCTCCTCCTCCCCCACCTCCTCCTCCTCCTCCTACTCCTCCTCCTGCCTCCTCCTCCTCCTCCTCCTCCTTCCTCCTCCTCCTCCTACCCTCCTCCTCCTCCTCCTCCCCCACCCCCTCCTCCTCTCCTCCTCCTACCTCCTCCTTCTCCTTCCTCCTCCTCC